TATATCCTTTTTGTAGATATAGCTATCTTGATATGTTTACTGAATTCTCTAGTAGTCATCGTATAATTTGGGATACATCTTATTATTGCTGCGTTATTTGTTAGATCTATTTTATCGCTACCTATTTGTGCTTGTTGATGGTTATTCCATCGATCATCATAAATATAAGCAAGTGCTCCAGTTCCTATTTCTGCTCTGTTTAATCCTGCTAATCCTATCATTATGACACCTAAATGCATAAGTTCTAGATTATTATCATTTAACTCTTGACAAGCCTCGGGTGTTATTAGATTTAAACTAACTTGATTATTTACTACACTTATTTTTCTCTGGCTAAAATAATTATATATCTTGCTTTGGAAATCTAATAAATTATTGGATAAAGGTTAACTTTTTTTTACCTTTTTCATTCTTTGTTCTATATATTTTTTTAGCATCATGCTCATTATCATACAGATCTTCTACTCTCATAATTTTTTTGGCTTTTCTAAGGATAATGGCTATTGTCTGTGTGGTTGTAATAAATTTACACACTTGGTGAGTACAGGTGAGAACAGATTAGTGGATAACTTTAGAAATCCTTTATTTTATCTGACAATTCAGATAATTTCTTAGAAGATTCTCTAAGAATACTTTCTTGTATTACTTCTAATTTTTCTTCCAATTTTTTACTTTTTCAGATAATTGGAGTAATAACTAGATTAAAAAGTTGTTTTGTCTAATACCTATATTAGTTGATTGTACATCTGTTTTAAAACTTGTAAATTCTATTGGGTCTTTGTCAATTTTCTTGAGTTCGACTAAAACTGTTAGATAATCATGATCACTAGTGCTCATAAACTATTGTAATAGACTTTGAATATCAATTTTAAGAGATATTAAATAGTCTATAATTATTTTTTGATTTTCAAAAATATTTTTAATATCATTATTTATATCCTTAATGGCGACTAATATTATTTTATTATCTAAATTATTCGGACTAGAATTCTGTGCTACTTGTTCTTTAATATAATCAAGATTTTCTCTAAGTCTTTTGATAGAGTTATCTAAATTATTAAAGTCTATTCTACTCATAAACCTAGCTAAAATCTTTGCCGTCTAACTTCTAAAATATTCTGTATTAAACTAATTCTAGATCTAAGTTCTTCAATTCTTCATTGTAGGTTGAGGGTTCTGTCGCCTAATTCTCGTGCGATGTAACAGTTTTTGAGTTCTGTTTGACAAAATTCTAGAACTTACACAAGTTGTTCTTTAGGTAAATTATGCATGAAATGAACTTTAGGGACGAAAATATAATTTTAGCTTAATAAAGGGCTAAAATAGAAATTGTTTCATGTATTTGTAAATATTGAAACTACACTCATGGGTTGGTAATATACTTTTGCTACTACCACTTTTATGTAAAAATCCCTTAAAAAAAAAAAAAATGTGAGACATGACTTGCATTGTTTATGGGTTAATGATTATATGGAATAGTATATATAGGTCTACCTTGTCCTCTCACTCGTACAAACCATCAGTTCTAAGAAAATATCCCCCCTTTCCGGAAATGGGAAGTCCAGGGAATTATAAAAATAAAAATAAAATAATATAAAACTTAATAAATCTGTCCTTACATAAAAAAAATTATTCCATTTTCTGCTTCTTCTTTTTTTTTTTTTGTAATATAAAAATTCTTCCATTTCGCTCAAGACATTTATTAATATACCAAAGCAGCAAGTCTACAAAAAGTCTACCAGCAATAACTATTGGGTGGGAGAGTAAAATTGAGTCATTAGTCACGAATAATTAGACAATGTAATAAATAATTATCACGGAAGAGTATTTGACCCAATTCCAGAATTATTGACTGAATGTCTGGTGCAAGCCAATAATCATCTGCAAAGCATGAAATTTACAGCCAATAGAAGGACTTTGTTTTTTTTTTGAAAGTTCAAGTTCATATAAAAGTATAAACAATTGTACAGACCCATGAATGGGGAATTGTGTGTTAGCCCAAGACTAAGCCATAGCACCAAAAGTGCAGAAACAAAAGACTCCATATAGGAGAACCCCAAGCCCACAAGAAGCAAACTTAGGCCTGGCCTAAGACTCTCAAAATTTCACACGCACAAAAATAATAATAATATAGATGATGAGTACATAAAATATATTCACACGCTATTACTATAATATAATTGTGTCCATCATCAATAAATAATTGTACGCATGTGCAGTATACATAAGACAAGTAATTAATAATTATAAATTTATCACCACTAACAAATAATTGTGTGCCAATACAGTTTGCATATGACAACCGACCAATAATAATAAATTTATCACCACCAATAAATAGTGTACATATTTAATATTATTAGAAAAAATAAATCAAATTGAGTAAGTTAGAAGAAGAAAAAAAAAGAATAATTAGATGAAGAACGTGTACCATGACTTTGACATTCTAGTTTCGACAATACCACTTCTTATCTGTCTTCATGCAATAAGATTTAGTTTGTTGTTAATCATATTCAAAGATATATTTGACAGTATTTCATGAAATATATTATAAGTACTTAACAAAAAAGTACAAAAAGAAGCATCATGTTGTGGCATAATATATCTAATTTTTTCATCTTTCTTATTCTTTATGGAGTGTCCGGTTGACGGGGTCAACGGTTGTGCTCTGATGGTGTTGGAAATCTCCACCACGTTGACTACTTTTGGTATGCCATTGGTTTTCCTTTTTTATTTTATTTTTTATTTTACTTTTTTTAAATCTAATTCAATTAATTGTTTTTTTTAAAGGCTAATTCAATTAATTGTTTCTTTGGTTGTTAGTTTAATTATTATTTATTTATTTATTTAATTGAATAACAAAGTAGTATATGTCAAATTTATGTAATCTGATAACTGTATTTGTTTTAATTAATATGTATTAGATTCAGTATTAGTAATTAGTATCACGTGACCAAAAAAAATTTAGTGTCACACTGTCGCATTAACTTACATACTACTATTACTATCTTCTTTTTTCTTTTTCTTTTTCTTTTTTTTTTTTTTTTTTTCAATTATTGCTGCATGCTATATAAGTCTGCTGGGCTCAAGTGTGGCTTTTCAATTTTTGGGCCTTAGTAATTTTATTTTTCATTAAGCCTAAATAAATTGGGCCAAATTGGAGGCCCTAGGCTATCTTCTTGGTCGCCTGGCCCCAGGGCCGGCCCTGAGCTAACTCACCCTTAAAGTTTGACAACAAGCTTGCCACAAACCTTCAGTTACAAATTACAACTAACTTGAGGAGGATAAATGAGTAACAAGCTTTTATAAACAATTACTCACTTATCGTCCTCAGCTCAAAAATTTTAATAAACAATTGTTTTTAATTTTTATTTTTTGGTTGGAATTTTAAGCAACTGATATTATAATAACATAATTACAAAGAGTGATAGTTGGCCCAAGCCCATATACAAGCAACACAGCCCAAAGAAAGGGTTCAAAACAAATGAATAAAAACCCAATCCATTTACCTAGACTAACAACCAAAATTAACGATTAGTGTTACCCATTAATGGAGGTTATCAGTCCTACAAATCCGGTAATCATCCCTAAATTGTGGGGTTGAAACTATGCACCGTTGTATAGTGTAGGAAAATCAATCTGGCCGGCGGCCCCCTCGGTGGAGGGACCACAATGAGCAGAAGAGACATTCCAACTATGATTAAAATACATATTTACTTTTCGATCACCTAAAAGTTTGAAAAAGTAGACAAAATACCTCCAATCATGATGAAAATATATATTTACCCCCCCTTCTCTCTCTCCACTAACCAATCACCACCGCAACCACCACTCACCAATCACCACCATCACAACCTCCACAGTACGAACCAGTCACGGATTCAATCGAACTCACATGCAGTTGCAGCTATTGAAGGCATAATCTTCTTCTCATGTGTATGAAGTTTCAAATTGGGGGTTTGGCTGCTTATTTATAAAATAAGGTGTCATTGTTCAACTTTGTAAACATGGGACGAGTGAATTATACTCTTTTCAAATTATATTTACCTATCTTTTAGGCATACTTGAATTGTCACAGCAATTTATCTTATTTTTTTAATAATAAAATGAAATTAAAAAGTTATACTCAATTTTTGCAGCATGTCTTGTGCTTTGGTTCAATATATATATATATATATATATATAGCATTTACCCCGTATTTATCTTATCTTTAAAATTGCAGATGTGGTGCCCGATGTGTTCGTTGTCACATCATCGACAGATGCAACTCAAAAGTGCTAGTGGGACTCTGCATCGCTACACTACAAATATTTGGTTGTTAGGCAAAATTTTGACCCATTATGTGATGAAATTTAAGTAACATAGGTTTTTTTATATATTCAATCTGTCGCATCAATATATTACAGTAATTATTTATAATATTATTAATTTAATCATGTTACATTTAATTTATGAAATAAACTATTATAAATCTAATAAAAATAAATTTAATAATAAATAATAATAGTAATAAGAATGTTCTTAAAATTAAATTCTCAAATAAGAGACACTTAATTGAAAGAATAACTACACAATAAATATTTGGTTGTTTGGCAAATTTTAACCCGTTATGTAATGTAATGTAAATGAAAGTCCCAATTTGTTGCATCAATATATTAATTTTAAAAAAATTATCAATTTAATCATGTTGCATTTAACTTACAAAATAAATCATTGTAAGTCTAATAAAAATAAATTTGATAATTCTTTTACTACAACTAATAAAATAAGAATAATAATAAGAATCAGTTTTAAAATTAAATTTTCAAATTAGAGACACTTAGTTGAAAGGGAATATAGTTTTAGCTTTATTCATGACAGTAATAAGTAGCCATCTTCTAAAACCTAAGTTTTACTGAACAAGTGGCCAATACATTACTCCCATTATTTTAAATCCATAAAACAAATTAATTTCGGATGAAGTCCATTTTTTAATTATAAATACAAGTGAGGAGTCTTGCTTGCCTTCATCAAACCCACTTCTTCTTCTTCTATAAGTTAGCAAGCAGAGAAACAAAAGCCAAAAAATCCATGGATTCATCGCCCCTTATCAATCCCATTGGGGGTGTGGAGGTGGAACCTGATTTCCAGAGAGAGATTAGAATGGATGTCCTGACTCTTATGGGGTATAAAAACTGGGACAAAAATTCTCCATGTTTCATTCCTATTCTCAGAATTCCTATGTTATCAGCCTGCTACCACCCCAGCATGGTATCCATTGGGCCTCTCCACAGTGGGGACCAGCATCTGCACGAAATGGAGGCTGTCAAACGGTGCTACATGGACAGCCTCCTTGAACGAGCTGATGGTCGGCAGGAAACACTAAAAAGGAAATTGAAGGATGCTGTAAAAGAGTTGGAAGCTGGTGCCAGGCAATGCTATGCAGAAGGATTATTAATGAAAACACTAGTACCGGATGATGATGACCAAAACACATCAAGGTTTGCCAAAACCATGCTGATTGATGGTTGCTTCATCATTGAACTCCTATTCAGGTTTTGTGAAAAAGACGAAGAAAAAGAAGATGATCCCATTTTGCGCAACTGCATGAGGCTTGTTCCCATCAGAAAGGATTTGCTCCTATTGGAGAACCAGATTCCATTCTTTGTTCTTCAAAAGTTGTTCAATATTACCCAGCTTTACATCTCTCCGGACCCTCCCTTTCCCTCCCTTACTGTTTGTATAAAGTATTTCTTTTCTCCTATTATGATGTTACCAGAGGAGGAGAAAGGCCAAACAGAGAACGTGAACAATTCCTATTCCACGCTGGCTCAAACAAAGGAGGAGGAGACGGTAGCAAAGGAGGAGGAGGATGCAACTGTTTCTCATATACTCCATCTTTTACACAAATTCTGCACCAAAAAGGAGGAGGAGATGGTACCGAAGAAGGAGGAGGAGGAGGATGCAACTTTTTGTCATATGCTCCATCTTTTACACAAATTCTGCAAGCCTTCTCAAGTGCAAACAGCCAAAGAGGTGAAGAACACGGAGTTGGAATATTCAGCGACAGATCTTGATATGTTAGGAGTCAAGTTGAAGGCCGCAGCTAATGTGAAACACCTATTCGACGTGAAGTTTACTACTGATCATTGTTCTTGTGTTCGGCTGTGCAGGAGAGGTTGTTTTCAAATCCCATCTTTCGGCATATATGACGACACAGAGACGTTCTTGAGAAACATGATTGCTTTCGAGCTAAATTCCATGGGTAAGAACCATTACTACTTCACATCACATGCTCTCCTCATGGATAAACTCATCAACACTGCAAAAGATGTTAAATTGCTTGAGGAAGCTGGGATCATACACAACAATTTGGGTTCGAGAAAAGAACTGGCTACTCTCTTCAACAATATTTGCAAGAATATAAATGCAGAAAATTACTGCTTCAATAAGCCGTGCAAAGATGTAAACGACTACTGCAAGCAATGCTGCCCAAGCCTCCTAATTAAACTCAGACGTACTTATTTCAGTAATCCATGGTCATTCATATCTTTAATTGCTGCTATCATCCTCTTTGTGCTCACATTGCTGCAGACCATCTACGCCTTGCTTTCTTATTATTAATTATGTATATCTATGTTGAACTGTGCAATAATGTGGACTACTATGCCTGTGCTCCTTACGTATCTGTCTCAGTGGCCTGGATCGATCGATCAGCAGAATGTTGTCTTTAATTAACACAGCATGCCGCTCGCTAGTAGTTTTAATAAACTGTATCTGAATTCTAGCTCTATGTACTCTGATCATATATAATAGCCTTTGTAATCTCTGTTTCAAAATTGCAATCTCATTTTACTAGCATAAGCAAAAACCAACATTTATTGGCTAAGGGGAGATAATAACCTGTTAGAAAAAAAATTAAAACACCAATCTTGTCAGCATATTTTTTGTGATGTCTTCTATATTTTAATTTTCTTCCAAAGACAAATTTTTTCAAAGAAATGAGGAGATGTTGGGTTACTAGAGCATATCACATTATTCGTATGCTTATTCAATGAAAATCATCATCTAACGAAAATGAGAGATCATCCGTCCCAAGCGGATTAGTGTCGACATATTTTTTAACCATGTGTAAGTTTTATTCAGCCTTTTATTCGGCTTTTGCTTGCGTGTTAATTAATTATTTGTCACAACCAATAGTTTCGAAAATCGGGACTATGTAACGAAAATGAGAGATCATCCGTCCCGAGCGGATTAGTGTTGACATATACTTTAACCATGTGTAAGTTTTATTCAGCCTTTTATTCAGCTTTGCTTGCATGTTAATTAATTATTTGTCACAACCAATAATTTCGAAAACCGGGACTATGTAACGATTTGTCAAAAAAAAAATAAATAAATAAACAAACCACCGTCTGCATTTTTATTGAGTTGACAAATTAATACTTAACAAAATCCACCAGATAACAAGTCTGACTTTGTTCCCTTCTTTATCAAGATATGAACAATGATGGCCGTGTTTCTCCAGCTTTCTACAAACTTGGCCCTAATTTTGGTTGGGTTAGAAATATTTAATATAAAAGAACTCAAGAAAATAAAAATAGCTACTAAAATCTCTTCAAAACAAGAATCGACCAGGATTTAATCAATTAATTAAACCTAACAATGCCGCGATCCTAGTTTTAGGGATCAAGCTATGGCTAAAAGTTGTACATGAAAGAAACTAGTGCAAGGAGCAAATGCAACCTAAGATACTTCGAGAAGGTGATGGACTCCCCCATCGAAGAAGGTGTGAACCCTTGAAGGATACTCGACAGCAAATCTCTAAAGGGTAACACTGCATCTTTTATTGATCATTAGGATGGCCGACCGCATTCTGTGCGTGAGAGCTTAGAATATCTCAATGACAATTCCATCCATTTATAAAAAAAAATATTTAAAGGAAAAAAAAAGAAGAAGTGAAATTGAGAGTACTTTCAGTTTAAAGAATTTTCTTTTATATTATTATTAGACCTAATTGCACTAAACTCCTTGTAGTTTCAGAAAGTTGTAAAATACCTCCTCTACTCTTTTTTTTTTTTTTTGGCAACAAATTCAGGCCGTAATTTACTAACTGTTGCAAATTACCCCCTTTTCCCATGGTGTGTGGTCTTTGTTGCAGAGCTCTAGACCAACATTGAAGCGAGAAATTTATTTTAAAACTATGTTCGAAAGGGTAGAGGTTAGATTCCCATTATTGTCATAACAAATCTTAATGTTATAATAATTACTAATTGAAAAATTGGAAGCTTTCTTGTTCGAAAGTCAGGTTAGTTCAAATTATCTATATGGCCAACCTAGCATCGAAAATTTAATGTAATATTAAATTAGTTTAAGATGAAATTACTCCTAATCATAAAAATTTATAAAAACTTATTACAAATTTCTAGTTAATTAAAAACAAAATCTTCAAAAATTAAATTTCCAAAGTGAAGATTTAAACAAGAAAATTGAAAAGAAAAGAGGCAGTCATAATTTGAATATTATACGTAATTTATTTAAAATAAAAAGTATATATACTAAAATAATATTTAAGATTCGGGTTTAGGTTAGGCTCGGTTGATATGGCCTTAATTAATGGTTGATATGGCCTTAATTAATGCCAACCTTAATTAAGTTTGGGTTGAGTTTTTCAACACAAGTTCAATCTTAATTGTAAAATTGGTTGTCTAAGTTCACGAAATATCAGGTAGGGCTCAGGTTAGTTTCGGATTGCCCAACCCAAGTTGCACCAGTGTGAATAAAGAAAGACTTATTATAAAACCAAAGAAAGAAAAGAAAAAAGAACATAGTATTGACCGGCTGGCTGTTCAAATTGTAATGCAACCTGGTTAGTTGAAGTGATGGACCGACTCTATAGGTATCGGGTAACAATTTATGTTCGGGGGTCATAATCATGTCTTGTCGATTTAAGGGTATTATATTAATAACCCAATTTGAACACGACTCGTTTAATATTGGTGTCAGGAATTCTCAACGCTAACCAGACCTAGTTATTAAACGTGTTACCCGTTTAAAGACCTAGTTACTAAAATAAAAAAATATATATATTATTTAAATTATTAATTACTCAATCAAACAATAAATACTATAAAAATATAAGTTTCAATCCAACCAAATTACTAAATAGTCTTTAGTGTAGAAAAGAGTAGATTATAAAACACAAATTTAGATAGTTATTTTGAAACTTAAATATAGCTTTGTTTATGACACGTATAGTTAAATAGGTATAAACGGACTATACAGACTGAATCACTTCAATCCAAATACGACATGATTAAATAAACGGGTTAATCGCATTGACCCGTTTACGATCTGAATTTATTTAAGATCAACCCAAACGTATCGTGTCCGACGTTGCCACCCCTATCAAAAGCTCTCACATAAAGTAATAAAAAACGTGAGTAGCAGTTTGGATAATACCAAAATTATTTGTCACAAAAATAAGAAAACAAATCAATAACATTTATTTATTTTTTTAAAAAGTGTGAGGTAAGTACTAACACGCATTCTACAAATTGCAAAGTAAGATACAAGAATTCATTCCTCCCTTTTGAGGGAGGGAGATGTTTATAACTTGGACTAATGACCCATTGCATGAGATAACATTGTGTGAGACCCACATGAGATTTAATAATTAATTAATTCATACTATTCTGGTAAGGAATCAATATTTGACATAAGCATGAAGAAAATGCTGTAGGGTAATTTTTTTTTTTTTTTTGTTTTGGTCCTTTTTTTTTTGTTCCCCAATGTGCGGGTAATTCAAGGGGCTCACATGCTCCCACAACTTTGTTCATGGTGAGATCTGTTCCTTCATTGGAGAGAAGCTACCCCTCTATTATTGATAGATGGTTTTGTCAAGACTGTCATGTCCTATGTAGATATTGCCCCCTTAAGAAGTACGGACACGACTCAGGTACGATACGAAACGTATATAAAAATACGACAAATTTTTAAAAAGTAGGATACAAGTATAACGGGATACGGCAATATTTTTTATATAATAAATAAAATAATTTTTGTTTTTTAATCACACGTAATATTATGAATCTAAATGTACTAATTAACATGTTCATAAATAAAAAAGCAAGTAAAGAAAATATACAAGGAGAAGTTGTTACAGAGTAAGAGTAGGAAAAACATAGAAGAAGAAAAACACTAATTTTAGATATGAAAAACCAAAAAAAAATGTAAGAACAGATCAAACACATGAGCAATTAAGCATAAATAAACAATTGACTTTAAAAACAATTACGGGATGAGAATTAAGAACAATTGTGGGGATTGATTTGGTAATTTTAGTGTTTTAAATGTTTTTTTGTTTTATTATAATTTGACCCCCATTTTTCATCCTACATGATTTTAAATATTACAATATGAACCCCACCGTATCCCAGAAGTATCCTTGGCATATCCTAGCCGTATCCGAAATTAAAAAATTTATTTAAAAAATTGGATACTTCTCCCAATATCGGTCACGTGTCTAGGCGTATCAGTACTGGACACATATCCGACACCGCCATGACACCTCCAGGGAAGTATATGTGCTTCCTAGTTGTCCACATCATACACTTTTCTCTCCGTGTTCACAATTTTCCTCAAAACGCGTCTATATTGTTAAAAAGTGTCCACACATATAAATGTTAGGAACTTCTTCCCTTAAGAGATGTGGGATGCATGTCACAATTACGCTCTTTTGGGACCCAACATCCACGCTAGCCTGACTTGCATGGGTTTGTGTACACTCCCCATTTTCGACTAGGAATTCACTCGCATTTATCATATAGTATATATAAGAGTCAATCCAGCCGGAATTTAAGGAGCGTGCACGAGCCCATGCAGGTCAAGCCTAATATATTATAAAGATTTCCAGAACCTCTTTGAACGGTTGCTTTGGAATCCTTTTGTAGTTGAGATTTTTTTAGACTTTCAAGATTGCAATTTGTTATGACTTTTTGTCAACATTCTAGTATATATTTCTCATACTCTGTTTACTATCATTGGACTCCCAGACTATACATAGGAGTCCAACAATTCAGAGAAATAGACACAACCCCATCAAACTATTCACTTCTTTTTCTTCCTTCCCTTCTATATAGTCACCTACCATTATTATAATACTTTGTTTTGGGCAATTGATCCACTACTTGGTTAAATACTTCCTATCAATGTGCAGATAGAGGAGTCAGTGGTTATGAGCGATTGGGGTTGTGTTTTGGAACTGCTATAGCCATCACCACCTGCACGTAGGGAAGAAATAGCAGCTTTAGGAGAGCATATCCAACACGTGCCTCACCATATCCCAGGCCAGAGCTTTCTTTTACCGTTTTATACATATTTCTGTCATTATATTATAAGGATAAATTATGTTATTTACCATTAACTGGCATTAAGTATTTGAATTTCTATTAATATATATTATACTAGTGTTTGGGTTATTTGAGTATTTGTATATTGTTACATTATTTTCACTATTTATGCATCAATCTAAAGCTGCTATAAGAAAAGAAAAGAAGTCTGTTAGATATATATTGTGCCTATAGCAATTTTATAAAAACTCTATAACTTGCATAATAGTAATAGTAATATATGATACATCAAATGTATATATTCATTACACTATTAAAATTTTTGAAACGTGATATACGATATATACTATATATATTATTGATTATATTATACAGTTTATTCTTACTTTCTCTAACTATATATATATATATATATAACCTTTTCAAAGTATTTGAAATTC